GCCTGAAAAACGCGATTGTCCTGGGGTCAGAACCATGACTTGGAAGAAAATGTCTTTTCTCACAGAATCACAGGATGGCAGAATTTTAAAAGACCTCTGGCACAATCGAGAGAAACCTCTTCTTTTTGCAGATGTATCACAGTGGCCACATTGGATTTTAAAATTTTTGACGTGTAAGGGCCCTTAAAGATCTACTGAAGCCAATCCCTTAATTATTTTCCTGATGAGAACATCCAGGTCACTTGAAATGAAGCGAGCCCGGGGCAGCTAGATGGTGCAGTGGATAGAGTACTGGCCCTGGAGTCAGGAGCACCTGACTTCAAATGTGGCCTCAGACACGTATTAGCTGTGTGACCCCAGGCAAGTCACTTAACCCCACAACTGACATCGTGTCTCTTAATCCCCTTCCCCTGTCAAGCGAGCTGCCCAATTTCACAGTCAGTCAGTGGCAGAGCAATGACTTGGATCCAGGGCTCTCAGTTCCTAGTGCAGTCCTCTTTCTATTCTGCCACCCTTGTTGTCCCTGTGGGGAATGGGCAAGGACAGTGACAGAGAGGCCATCTTCCAACTCAGCTGGTATTTATAGTAGTTCAGTGTGATGACGTAAAAGCTCTTCCCAAGGTAAAGTGAAAGAAGAGGTTCTTTGGATCATTTAATTAGAGTAAATGCCAAAGGAAAGGGCACTTGATCCATAGTGAAGTAATTTTACGTTATAATATATAAGCAAGCAAAAGGGCTATATATGGGGGGTTGTCTCTAAGTCAGAGCTGCAGAAAAAAAAATGGTTTTTATAAAAAGTATTTGCTCTGAATATGCTGTAGCCTTGAAATCTGGGTTTTGAACAGAGGAAGTTTTGCTTGGGATTATCTCCAATGTATCCCAGGACAATCCCCTTCCATCCCTGGGAGTCCTAGTTTATAATTGGACTGACCCTGAAAGAGTTCTGCATTGTAAGGCATGGTCTGGACACCTTCCTGATGATGGGTGAGTCAATGAGCTCATTTGGAAAAACTTGAACGGCTCAAGTGTAAGAGTCACCTGTGAAAACCAGATCAGAGTACTAGAATTGCAAAAACCAGCCTCGGCATCTTGCACCCCAAAGACATGAACTTAAAATGTGCATATTCTTTCCCTCTGGAGAAATTCACACTTCTTTCTATACCTTCAGATAAAGTTTTTGTTTTTTCTTTCTCTCTAGCTGTTGACAGAACCTGAATACATACATGTATGTTTGGAATAAGATCGTTCAGTATACAAATAGGACACTTGGTTAAGGAAGGACCAGGATTATTTGAATATTGCAAGTAGGTGATGATTTCTTCCCCAGAGGTTATCTAAAGCTTGTCTAGATGTGATCCTAAATCATTACAGTCAGGTTGCTGGGCATTTTCATTGGATAATTAGGCAGTATTTTCAGTACGTGGCCTGAAAAACGCGATTGTCCTGGGGTCAGAACCATGACTTGGAAGATGGTCATTTTTGAAGATGGTCATCCTCAAAGTACACCATGCTTTAAAAAGCAAGGGTCTCCAAAGGGTCCTACAGCTCCCGTATTTTGGGGACAACTTGCCCAAACTTTGCCCTTCTCACTGCCAGTTTTCACATGTTTTTCTCCCTGCTTTCCTGATTGTTCAATGAATCACTGAGCAGCAATTTTTGCAACACTTGTTCCTTAATTCTGTTTGTTTCACATCTTTTATCTCAGGCTTATATATTATGAATTCATAATTGTAAGTTTTTACATGTGTGAAAGTTCCATGATTTTTTTAAAGGGTCCCTTTCCTTCTCTTTCCTATTCCAGTATGGAGAATTGAATGTAAATTGTACAGTAAATAACAGTATTAAACCAAAGAAGCTGGCTAAAACTGGTTGGTTTAAAAAAAAAAACCTGGGGAAGCCCTTTATTACAGTTTTATTGTTTATGATAATCTGTGTAGATAATCATTACTAAATAAATGAAATATCTTTCTGAATAGAAATGGGTGTCCTATTGAAACAACTCTTTCGGCAATTCACAGGGAAAGCTGATATTTTGTCAGTGACACACTCAGAATAAGAATACAGATAATGAAATAGACACTCTGGGAGTATGGCCTTACAGCTCCATGCAAAAGGAGAGAATTTGGAATCGTTTCAGAGAGAAAGTAATTGTTTGCAGTGCTCAGTAATGTGGGTAAAGTGATAGCAAATTATAGTGCTTTCAGTTAGTATTAGGCAATCACATTTTTGATGACCAATCAGTGGAAGGTAAGTTGCGATTGCCCCCAGTTTCTCAGTCCTAATGATTTTGGTGGGGGGGGCAGGAGATGAGATGAGGGGGTAACATCTTGGCTGCAAATCAAGCATTAGACCAACATTTTGATTAGCTAGGTAGTTGGAAGGTCGTACGTATTCTAATTAAAAACAGGTTTGAGAATTTTTTTGGCCCTTTAAAAAAGGGTGAATTATTTTCATGGTTCACACTCAACCAGTTTCATGTCTTTTCCTCATGTTTTTCCTGATTTTTAATATCCTTTTCAAAGGAACCACTGATTCTGTGATTCATTCATTGCCTATAGCCTGTATTGTCACCTTAGTGGTCCTGCGTACCCGTACTTCAACCATGTTTTCTGTCACTAGTATTTCACTTGTGTTCTGAAATGCCTTCCAAAGAAAGTCATGCCTTTGGAGTGAGAGGGAATTATGTCCCGGAGCAGTTTCTCTTCTGAGTCTGATTATAGGAGCCTGCAACTGTTATTTCCAAAGGTTCATTTACCACATTTAAAATCTTTTTAATGATAATGACACAAAGAAGCTCCACAGATGCTGTCCTTAACTGTAGAAAATAAAAGAAAATGAGTTAACAAATACTGGAGGTTAGGTTATCTCCCAAAACAGACCCATAACAGAACATGGCCAGCTATATACAGGGTTTTACACAAGGGACTACTTTCAGCATGGAATTGTACTGAGACAGGCCACATGATTCAGTTTTGTTTAAACAGTTTAAAGGTGACACTTGGTTGTATTTCTGATTATGTCCTAGCCCCCAATAATCTGCTTGCATTTTTCATATTGAATGTCAGGTATTATTTGGACCCACTGGGTATGAGTAGATTGTAGCATATTACCAGTGATGACTTGCATGTGAGAAATGTTGTAAAAACCAGGTACAACTGGAAAAATCCGTGGACTGGCATGTAGCGGGAACAAGATATAACAAACAGACAGCCATGGAATATTAAATGTTAAAAGGCCTCCTGTGCATTAATAAGATCATAGACTTACAGATCTAGACCTGGAAGGAATTGTAGAGAGCCTTCTACTGAGGCCAAGAAAGGTTAAGTGACCTGCCTCACATTATACAGTTACTAAGTGTTAAGAATCAGGATTTGAACTTAGGGCCTGTAACTCCCAAGTTTAGCATTCTCCACTGTAGCACGCCACCTGATCAATTCAGTATGAGAGATCTATGGGAGCATGTGAACAAGAGCAATTAGAGAAGGCATGATGGACTCACCCCCTTTACCAGAGTAAGGACTGCCCATGTCAGTGAGATCCCTATAAGCAATTTGCAACCACGAAAGGAGCTGAACCGCCTGATAACATTTTCTTTTTTCTCTGGGGTCAGCCCTGCTGCTGATGAGTAGTGATCTTCAGTTGCCACCGGGGTACAAAATATACTGACCTTGAGGGTTTATGTTAAAAAGGAGATATCCTTTCCCTTAGAGCTCATCAGTCAGAATGAGCCATAGGGGAATCAGAGGATAGTAAGGCTAGAAAGGACCTCTCCAAGTTTGCACAAAAGTAGGAAGTGGCCTCTTCCCAATCAATGGTGCCTTTCTCTTCCATTACCCTCAGGAACCTCTGTATTAATGAACAAACTTCCCTTTTAGATCTGGTCCTTACATTTTTTCCCATTTTCTTCTGCTCATAGACACATGGTAACCCTCTGCAATGTAGTGTGTTCCTTGCTTTCTTCATTCTCCCTGACAGTCAGGAGGCAGTAGACCTGTTCTTTGTTCTTCATCACCACTTCCAGGCCTTCTCCATGCTGCCATCACTCAATGATCTTTCCTCTTTTCAAGGTCTCTCCGTTCTTCTAGATCACCCAGGCCGGATTCTTGTTATAGTTACTCCAAGTCACTCTTTTCTCACAGAATTCAGTGACTGGCTTATAGCCTTTCTTTCCACATCAACTTTGGCTTCTTCCTAGACTTCTTCAGTATTATAACTACTGATGCTTTTTATCACACTTCAGAGTTAGCAAAGCACTTGTATTTAATCTGAGCCAAACAATTACCCTATGAAGTAGGTACTACAAGGGATGAGAAAATTGAGGCTGAGGTTGAGACTTGCCCACAGTGATAAAGCTAATGTCCAAGCTAGAATTTGACTTCGAATGTTCCAGCATTCTATCCACTATAGCACAGTGGTCTGTATACACTCTGCTTTCTCCTCAGATCTAGAGAGGAAGAAATCCTCGCCTCCCAGTTCATCTACTTTCCCAACTCATTTTCCCAACTCACATTTTGTTGCCTCTGTTTTATCATTTCTCGGCCCCTTGGCAATCCCAGTACTCTCCTGAAACTGATGTCACTAAGGAACTCTTTTAAAAAACATTTGCACTGATATTTTCTATTTTTACATCACATTAATTTCCAAATACATCTCTCCCTTTCTCTACCTAGAGAGCCAGTGATCTCTTACGTACAAAGTGTGTTGACTTTTTCTCAGTTCTCATTCTACTTGATCTATTTTGCCAGCCCCTCTCCGCCAACCCCCCCCCCCACTAGCTGCCACCTTCTGGATACTCTCCTTAGCTTCTGTGACCTTGCGCGCTCCTTGTTCTTCTGTCTCCTTTCCTCAATCATCACCCATGACGTGTCCACAAAGCTCTGTACTTGAGCCTCTTCCTCAATCCTACCTTGCTGATTTAATCAACTCTTATGGTTTCAATTATCATCTCTGTGCAGGTGATTTCCAAATCAATAGGTCCAGCCCTAGTAATTCTTGCCAGTCTTGCATTGTCAGCTGCATGCTGTCTTTTGGCTGGATGACCCATACGCACCTCGTACTCAACACATCCACAGTTCAACTCATGATCTTTCCCCTAAACCTGCTCCTTTTCCATCCCACCCCCCTCCTTTTTTTTAAGGTATCACATCCAGGTTGGAAACTTTGGGGACTGTTATCCTGGACTCTTCCCTCTCCCTCGATGAGTTGCAAATCCTGTTTCTTCGTATTTCCTGGATCTTCATTGCTTCTTACCTGAACTATTACTATTGGCTCCCGTGTTTTTAGGATCTCTTCTTCCGTGCATCCTCCCAACAGCTGCCAAAATGATATTCCTAAAGCCCAGATCTGACCCTCTACAGTGGCTCCCCATTGCTTCTAGGATAAAATACGAGCTCAGCCTGTCATTTCAGGCTCTCCATCTAGCTACAACTTAACTTTCTAGACCTCGTTTATATCACGCCCTTCACATACTCAACATTTCAGCCAAACTGACCTATTAGCTATTTACCCAAAGCGTCATTCTATCTCCTGCCTCTGCCTTTGCACAGGCTGTCCCCCATATCTAGAAATGTACTCCCTCTTCACACATACACATACCCCATTATACCTAAAGGCTCAGGTTAGGTGACACTTCATAAAAAAAGTCTTTCCTAACCCCCTCCTCCCAGTTGTTAATGTGTGCTCCCTCAAATTACCTTGGATTTATATGTGCACGTTGCATCTCTCACCACACCCAATTACAGTAGAAGCTTCTAGAGATCAGGGCCTACCTCAATGCCTAACACATAGTAGGTGCTCAATAAATGTGGAATTGACTCAGAGTCTGGAATGTGGTTGCTATTTTACAATCTAAGAGCAGCAGTTGATTTAACAAAGTTATGAGCCCTTTTAATTGAAATCAGGCTAATAAAAAAGATTGTCGCACTCAAGACACTTCTCCCTCTGAACAAAGGATGTTGGGGTGGAATTGTGATCCATTTGACTGTATCTTGACCTCAGAGGAGCTTCAGCCTAGGATTTGGCGTTACTAGGTTATGTGTCTGATACATGTCATTGATTCAGTGTGCTGGGCTGAGGTGGAGGCTCTAGTCCAGAGGATTGTGGGCCATCCTGTGACCCTTGGAAAAGCTTGCCCCACCTCAGCAGCTTCACTGACCTAGTTGATTCCCTTTAATTTATTGCACACGAACCTGTGTAATCCAACCAAATGTAATTCTGGCAAAGCAGAGGATCTGTAACATATTGTAAAAGTGTAGGCAGCCTTGATTCTTCTCTCCACCCCAAGTTTCAGATTGAATTTGGTCTCTGAAGGTGGAGTTACTGCTGGCTTCCACCCACGCTTCATTCTTAGAACATCTTAGAATATCCTCCCACTTCTCCTTTCTGTAGGAAATCTAGCAAGATAACACTTGTGAACATACCAGAGCCCTGTGCCATCTTTCCTGTTCATGTCCTCACTTTTCCCCATGTTTGTCAATCACCCTGTTTAACAGCTATTTAGTGTCTACTACATGTTAGACAACAATGAAACCTCTAGGGGAAATACAAAAGAAATGGGGATATGGTCTATCCTCTCCATGAGAGGAGGGCTGACACCCATCTGATAGAACTTCGGCGCTCGGTCTTTCTCAAGCACCTGCAGCCATGTTGCTCTAGTTTGGGGAGAATTCCTAGGGTGGAGAGCTCAGGATAAGAGTGGAATAAACCTGTTGGCCTAAGTTAGATTCTGACCTTCCTACCAAGGTCTGTATAAGTTTATGAATACTCATGACGTGATGCTAATGATCACAATTGCAGCAAATGGCAATGGAAAGGCCCTGCAGTGACTTATACCCAAGGACGCAAGAGTACATATGCCTGGAAAAGGTAGGCCTGCCATGTAGCAAGAGTGAAGGCTCCCATATGAACAACCTTCTTGCTATTTTTGGTACCCATGAAATAACCAAAGGAAGGATTCTAGCATTTT